GTTTTTTCTGGAGACTGCCTATGCCTACGTTGTACTATGGCCTTGGCGGCTGGATCAATGGCGAGGTGGTGACAGGCGACCTCAGGGTCGAGTCCGGGCATCTCTGCAGCGCTCCAGGCGAAGAGATCAGCGTTGTCGCGCAGGCAGGCCTTGATTTGCTTCCTGGCCAAGTCGGGGAGGTCTTTACCAATCTTCACTCCCTTGGTCGGATCTGTGCCGAGGGGAACGAGTTCAAAATCCCCGTCCGGAATAGGTCGGAGTGGGATTTGCTCGCTGCTGGATGGCTCGTCCTGATCGAAGCGAGCGTCGAGGACTATGGAGTCGACCTTTGGTGGGGCCTTCTGGACTTCTTCCTCGGGGGATACTTTCCTGTCGGGCTCCTGTTTTGTCCTTTTGGTGGGTCTGGTCCCTACGTCGACGGTATCCCGTCCCTTTGAAGCAGCGTTGAAGCACCTGCGGGCAGCGGCGAGGTCTCCTTGGATGGTGGCTACCCGTGCCCTTTTGGTATAGAACTTCATTTTCAGATGGACAGTCGAGGGCACCGCTGTCAGCTCCGCCAGTGTCGGTCTCCCCAAGATGCAATTGTATAGAGACGGGCAATCAATGACGAGGAAGCGGACCTTAACCTGTCGCGTAGCCGTTCCTTCGCCGAATGTGACCAGGAGCTCGACATAACCCCAAGGTTTGGAAGTCGAGCCGTTGAAGCCTTGTAGATCTGAACCCACATACGGAGAGAGATGTGAGTCGTCCAGTTGCAAGGTTCGGAACAGCTGGCTGTACATCACGTCGACGGAACTCCCTTCGTCGACCAGGATGCGATGTACGTCAAAATTGGCCATTTTTGCCCTTATCAGTAAGGGGATGACCGCGTTTGGGGCTCCGCCGGGGAGTTCTTCTAGGTATAAGGTGATGGGCTCTGACCTGCCCTTCACCCTTTCGAACATTACAGTTTGCGGAGGAGTTATGTCGACTAGCTCGTCCAACTTCCTCTTAGCTGAATTGATGGTGAGGTCGTTGAACCCGCCCCCGTTGATGACCATGGCGGAGGGGAAGTATTCCCACCTGCTGTGTGTTGTCAGGGGCTCCTGCAGGAGCTCGGGAATGTCGAAATCCTCGGGCCTGGTTACCGAGAAGGCGGTCTGGATAGGCACCGACTCGTCTGATGGTCGGGCGTCTTCTTCGGGCTCCTTGGCTTCATGGGCGTCACGACGGGGAGCGTCGTTTCGCCTGTACTGTGCGAGCCTTCCCCCCTTGATGAGGGTTTCAATGGCGTCCTTGAGGTGGACGCAGTCCTCCGTCAAATGACCATGACTCCTATGGTATTGACAGTATTTGTTTTTATCTGCCCCTGGCTTGGCGGGAGCAGGTCGGGGATGCTTGACGCCACCGTCTCTGAAATCTGTACTAGCACACTCCACCAAAATACGCTCGCGGGAAGCTGTGAGCGGAGTGTACTCGGTGAAACGGCCCGAGGGGCCCCTTTGTTCCCGGGCTTCCCGGGGTCGGTCTTCTTTCCTTTTCTCCCCGGTACGTCGGGGGAGAGCCTCTTGTCGTGAGCTGCTGCTGTTGTTGGGACCGCGAGCTCTGGAGTCTCGGGCCCTGTTGGCAACTTCCCTCTACTCGTAGTCCATGTATGGTCGGGCCTTGTCGAGGAGGGCATCAAAAGTTGGAGGTGGCTCAATACCCACAGCCTTTCTGAATTCTGTGTTGGGGAGGAGACCCCTCTCCAGCAAGTATCTTTTCATATGGTCCGCGCAGGGGACCTGTATTGCTTCCCGGTTGAAGCGGTTGATGAATTCCCTCAAGGTTTCATCCTGTCTTTGGATGATGGCCTCGAGGGCCGCCTTGGTCTTCGGATGGCGCCGAGAAGCTGTGAAGGAACTGATGAACTGGTTCTTCAGGTTCCGCCACGACGTAATTGAGCCCGGGGCGAGTCCTTTATACCAGTCCATGGCCGCCTTCCTGAGAGTCGTGGGGAAAAGACGGCACTTGATGGGCCCCCCGACATTATGATAGTGGAGCATGGCTTCGAACCCATCAATGTGGTCGACCGGGTCCGCTATCCCGTCATACTCCTTCAGATGCCGGGGCTTCTCCATGCCCGGGGGGATGGGTGCATCCATGATGACCTGCGACAGGGGACCACGGGGGTCGTCCTCGTCGCTCCTCTCCGGAGAAAGAGAAGGGGTCCTGTAGTTATGTCTGGCACGATGATCGTGCTGAGTTTCCCTCGAGCGTGATGCTCGGTGGCTGAAGGTCACACGCCCGTCCCCGGCGTGCCTTTTGTCGTGCCTTGATGGGTCGCGACTGGGTTCTCCGGCAGGGATGGCTGGCTGTCTCTCATAGTAGGGTCGCCTCTGCTTTGGCCGGGGAGAGGGGCTCCTGGAGTTCTCCCTGTAGTGTCTCCGCGGAGGAGAAGGGTGTCGAACTTCTGTGACCCGAGGAGGTGGAGAATGTGGCCTCCTATGCCTCCTCGGGGGTCGTCGATCATCTTCGAGTGCCCTTAATCTTTCTCCTTGGGCGAAGATGAGATAATTTGTCTGATTAATGGCCGCGAATAGTGCCTGAGTCGTGGCATCTGCCCCGGCGGGAACTGGGACTTCATGGAACCGGGCAGCTCTGTAATGAGCGAGAGCTACCGGGTCGTCTTCGAGTGCTGGAGGGGTCGAAGAGGATGATGCAGTAGCCCCGTCCCTGTAGGAGGAAGGTCCAGGGGCGGTCGTCACATGGATGGTACTGTGGCCGGGATCACCGGGGTTATCGAGGTGTCCATTCTTGTCCGCGGTGCCGTTATTAGTGTCGGCGACACGGACGTGCTGCTCGTCACGAGCTGGATCAGCCATGACAGGTAGTTGAATTGAGCTTTGGTCTTTAGAGTTGTTCGTTAGACGGGGAAGCTAGTTTCCCACAGACGGCGCCACTGATCTGACCTGATCAGAAATGGACCGTCACGGCTGGCTCCGAGCAGAAAGCTTTTTTGAACGAGGTGGGGGGGTACCTGCAAGGCACTCTGATGCTGAAGTAAGTAGGAGTACGAGCAGATAATAGCAAGTGTAAGGTTAGAATGATGAATACCTGACCCTCTGGAAGCAGAGGGTATTTATAGCCCCCCAGCGCTGGGCCAAGGTTCCTTCATTGGGCCGGGCAGGTTTGGCCCAATGGAGGAACTGCCAGGTTCTACGTGCGTAGTGGGGACCCGCATGTGGTCCCCTTCCTAGATGTTCTGCGTGAAGTGCGGGCGGACGGAGACGCGGTCTTTTCGGAGTATCGTTGGGGGAAGAGTGGACTGAGTCTGCCCTAGCAGGATTGCTCGAGGTAATGTCGAGCAGGATCTCAGGTTGCGGTGCTGGACCGCAGCATGTCGAGCAGGAGGTTTGCCGTCGAGCAGCAAGTCGTGCTCTCTGGTCGGTGTGGCCCTTGTAATCCCATTTGGACTGGGCCTTTACAATGCTTTTGGGCCTGTCGGGCCCAGTCCAGAACAATTTCTTTCATCAATATTGAAAAAATTTATAATCAAACAACATTAGAATATTTATTTTATTAATAATATTAATGATTAATAATAATTAGATACATTACACAATAAAAGACATATTTTAAAAACAAACATTTGTAATAGTTTTTTTGTCTAAATGCTAATATCTTTATATGAAATATTATACAAAGTGAACTTTAAATCATATGTTAGTTTAATGAAATTTGTAAAATCAATAACGATTTGAATCACAAATTGTAATTATTTGTAAAACCATCTAGATTATCATCAATTTATTTGTAATGTATTGAAATATATTTATAGTATGGAACTATGTTAATTGATTATTTATAATATTAGTTAATTAATTTTTTATTATATTATTAGTTTTGTTATTGAGGATAGCTTAGGAATATTTTATTAGTTTTGTTATATTAGACGTGTCTTACTATGATATGTAATATTGGATTGGGAACGCCGTAGTTTATGAATGTTATGTTCTTTTAGATGTTGGTATACCTTATGACGATTTTGGTGGTTAAACCGATTTTAATTATTGATGAGACCAATATGTGAGTTTTGAGAAGTTAATTATGAAATGATGATGATGAATTATGTTGAGATGTTTTGAAATGTTGTGTAGAATTATAATTAGATGCGTGTTTTAAATTGATGTAACCCGTGTTACATAGCAGGATTATTACATTGTTATTTTCTATGAAGTGTGACATCATTGCGTGGTGATTTTACTTGATTTAATTTGTAAATTATATGAGGAGTACATATGGGGTTCGAAGGGTGTTACATGTAACTTCATTGTCTCACTTTAAGGCTATGTTTGGATATTGTAAAATAAACAAAGAATGGAGTGGAGCGTAATGTAGCGGAGGAGAGCGGAACAGAAAGAAGTAAAGATGTCATTCTATTACTTGGATATTTCATGACAAAATAAAGAGATTTTATCATTCCGCCCAAATTGAACAATATAAGAAATAATGGAAAGTGATAGAATTGGATAGAATACATTACATACGATTCTGCTCCATTCAATTTTTTTAATCAATCCAAACAATAAAACTTAAGTTTATACCATTTTGTTTCATCTGACTCCATTTATTCCATCAATCCAAACATATCCTAAGAGTTATTTTTAAAATTCTACATACCTTTTTTAATAAAAATAATTAATTTTATAGAATATCTAAACAATTTTTATCTTAAAATAATTCACTATAATATTAAAGGTGATAAAAAAACATTAATTAAATTCATTTCTAAATTTGTAGGCAGCAATAATTAATGGTACATGTGTCATTCTATGTATAAACTAAAATTTTGTTTTCAGCATGACCCATCCTTCCTATTGGTCGAATCCTTTTTTCCCACCTCCTATATAAATCCCTTAAGATCCATCCATTCCTACTCACTTCTCATTCTCCACTTTAAAAGTATGTTCTACTTCTCCTGAAAATAAAAGAAACGTAAAAAAGAAAGATACAACACTCACACAGTTACAAACTCCAAAATGGTGTCAAAGAAAATTGAAGAAAAAGAAGTAGAAGCTCCCATCCATGGAAACATCTTAGAAGCCATACTCTCTCACGTGTCGCTCATTTACTTGCTCCTAGCCAATCACGTGTTAGATCATTGGAACACCGTGGTGTCCTCCTCCATCCACCACGTCAACCCCGTGAAAGTGTGACTGATAGTTTACACTCAAAAACCCCATGCACCTCACGTGATCAAATCATACACGTACGATCCATGCTCCCTAACATGGATCAAAATCCATGCGCCAAAAACAAATCACACCTCCGCTTTACGATCATCGCATTCCACGCTCCTTTACTTGCTCTCTCCTAAAGAATTCACTTTCTCTATCGATCCACTCTATTTCGAATGGAACCACGCAAAATCTCCATGCATTTTGCATGTTGATCTAGTGGATGCTCGCGTTGGAAATAACATCATTGTTGTTGGTGGCGCATGTGACTTCGAGGATGATCCTTTAGCAGTTGAAATGTATAATATATATTCTCACGATTGGATCCGATGTGATTCCATGCCTGAGATGATGAAGGACGCCACAACATCGACCTGGCTCTTTACTACCTTCTCCGGTGAGATTATGTACGTGATGGAGAAAAACTTTGGTCGATACGGAGAAGAGTTGTAGTGCTTAATCTTGAATTGCATGCAGAGTTCCATGATCATAGTTTGTTGAGATTAGTACCATTATCCGTGATGATCCTTTCGAGGATGCCATACCGACATATAAGGTTATGTTTAATGAATCGGGCGACCATATTCTTAATAATGGAGGCAAATGAGGCTGCTTCAACCCACTTCATGAAATAATCAATAGTGACGAGGATGAAGCAATGTCCGTTAGAAGCAGTAGGCTTGATCTCTCCAATCATATCAATTTCCCACATTTCAAATGGCCAAGGTTCAATCAAGACATTTAGAGGGACTGGTGGCACATGTACTTTGTCAGCATAGATCTGACACTTATGATAAGTTTTGGAGTGGTGATGGTAATCAATTTCCAAGGTTGACCAGTGGTAACCCGCTCTCATAATTTTCTTACCCATAGTATGGCCACTGGAATATGTGCCGGAGGTACCTTCGTGCATATCTTCCATAATTTTCTCTACTTCTTTCTTGTCCATACAACGAAGCAGAGTCGAATCATGGTTGCGCTTGTACAGAATTATGTTGCTTAGGAAGAACTTAGCATAGAACCTCCGTAGGAATTTCTTGTCATTGATAGATTCCCCTTCAGGATACTCTTGAGCCTCAAGGTACCTCTTTACTTCATAGAACCAAGGCTTTTCTTCTGTTCCGTCAGTGTCAATTTCATAACAGTGTGTCGGCTCGTCCAGTCTTTCAATAGTAATCTTAGGAGCTTCATTATCCCACCTGACCTTGAACATGGATGACATGGTAGCTAATGCATCTGCCAACTGATTCTCTTCTCGTGGGATATGCTCGAAAGTGATTTCCTTGAAATACGGGATTAAGGTTAACACATGCTCTTTATAAGGAATGAGATTCAGGTGCTTCGTATCCCATTCTCCCTTAACCTCACTAATTACCAGGGCTGAGTCCCCATATACATTCAAGAACTTGATTCTTAGGTCAATAGCTGCTTTGATACCCATGATGCATGCTTCGTATTCAGCCATATTGTTGGTACAGTCGAAGCATAATCTGGCAGTGAAGGGCGTATGGCACCCCCGAGGAGAAATAATTACAACACCAATTTTGTTTCCAAGCGCATTAAAAGCTCCATCAAAAACATAGTCTATTGGGATCCTGTCTCAAGTCCTTCATACGGTCCAAGTTCTTCATAATCTGTAACTAGCATAATATTCTCATCCGGGAACTCGAAATTTATAGACTGATAGTCATCTACAGCTTGATGTGCCAAATGATCTTCCAGTAAACTTCCTTTGATTGCTTTCTGAGTGGTGTACTAAATGTCATACTCTGTTAAGACCATTTTCCATCTGGATATCCTTCCGGAGAGAGCTGGCTTCTCGAAGATGTATTTGATGGGATCCATTTTAGAAATCAATAGAGTAGTATGAGTCAACATATACTGTCTTAGTCGGTGAGCAGCCCATGCCAAAGCGCATTAAGTTTTCTCAAGCAGTGAGTATCTTATTTTACAGTCGGTAAACTTTTAGCTAAGGTAGTATATTGCATGCTCTTTTCGACCAGACTCGTCATGCTAGCCTAGTACACTCCCCATTGAATTCTCTATCACTGTGAGGTACATGATCATAGGTCTTCCTTTAACTGGTGGAATTAGAATTAGAGGTTCTTGTAAGTACTCCTTGACTTTGTCAAAGGCTATTTAATAGTCATCATCCCATTTTACTACTTGATCTTTCTTCAGCAACTTGAAGATTGGCTCATAAGTAGCAGTCAAGTGAGAAATGAATCAGGAAATGTAGTTCAGTCGTCATAAGAAGCCTCTGACTTCCTTCTCAGTACGGGGAGCCTAAATTTCTTAAATAGCTTTAACTTTTGCGGGATCAACTTCAATACCTTTAACGCTGACGAAGAAGCCCAAGAGTTTACCGGATCTTACCCCAAAGGTGCACTTGTTCGGATTCGGTCTCAACTTGTATTTCTTCAGTCTTTCAAATAGTTTATGTAGATGATCAAGATGCTCTTTTTCAGTCTGTGATCGAGCTATCATATTGTCGATGTAGACCTCTATCTCGTAATGAATCATGTCATAGAATAAAGCTACCATGGCACGCTGATAATTTGGCCCGGCATTCTTCAACCCAAAAGGCATAACCTTGTATCAGAAAGTGTCCCACTGCGTGACGAAGGTAGTTTTCTCCATATCTTCAGGCACCATTTTGATCTGATTATAACCTGAAAAATCGTCCATGAAAGGTAATACCTTGTCTTGAGCAGTGTTGTCGACCAAAACATCAATATGTGGTAGTGGGGAGTCATCTTTGGGTCTTGCCCTGTTCAGATCCCTGTAGTCTACACACATACGCACTTTACCATCTTTCTTAGGTACTGGGACAATATTAGAAACCCATTGAGGATATGATGTCACTACTAAGAAGCCTGTGTTGAATTGCTTCATAACCTCGACTTTGATCTTTTCTGACATCTCAGGATGAATGCGACGGACCTTCTGCTTAATTAGAGAACAACCTTCTTTCATTGGAAGACAATGGACCACTATATCAGTATCGAGCCCTGGAATGTCTTCGTACGACCAAGAAAAGATCTCAACATAGTCATGCAACATCTAAATTAACTTGTTATTGAAGCTGCTCTCTAAGTTGCCGCCTATCTTGACTTCTTTCCGGTCTGTCTCGGTGCCTAAGTTTACAACTTCGACTGGCTCTTCATATGATTGGATAGCCTTTTCTTCTTGTATTAAGAGTCTCGAAAGTTCTCCAGGTATTTCACAATCTTCCCTACCTTCATCCTCGGCTTGGTAGATTGGATTTTTAAAGTCATGAGTTGCAATAGCAGAATCATTATCGACGAGATCCAGAATGGATGTGGATATGCAATGTAGTATGTAGGTGTGTGTAAGAAACACATAGCTATATTTAAAAGCAACAAAGTAAAAAACACAGAGAGCGTAAAATTTGAATGCAAAAACATTTAATGTTTTATTAGATGAGCATATGCGAATGAAAGATAACAACCCTAACAAGTGGACCGTTGTGCCCCGGGTAAGGCACAAGGATTAAAGTTATTGTTTTAAAATTACATATCCAAAAAACTTGAAAGCAGTAAAACAGGAAATAACAATTACTCCTGACTAAAGAAGATTGGTATAAAGTCTTTAGCCTTCCAGTTATTGATTCCACTGCTGGTAGTAGGGAATATCTAGTTGTCCAAATAACAGTCACTATCAGTGTCTTCTATAGCATAAACAACATCAATAGCATTCACACCTTTGTCGTGCTTCAGCATTGGTGCAGTGATTACATTCAGAGTCTCTGGTGGATCAAACTCAATCTCTTTTTTGTCAAGCATGTCCTGAATTTTGTTTTTCAGAGCCCAGTAGTTGTTGGTGTCGTGCCCGGGACTATTAGAATGATAGGCACACTTTACATTCAGATTGTACTTATGAGATGAGGTGTTGGGATTAGGAGGAGGATCCCGCAGTGTTATTAATTCTGCTTTCAACGGATGTTGTAATGCCTCAGACAATGGCATACTAATTTTGGTGAACTGCCTCCTCGGAGGGTCTGAGCTACGCTGATTATCGGATTAGAGATCAACACTTCTCCCATAGACCGGTGGCTGTCATTTTTACGTGGCCCTTCTGGCCATAAACAACACTAATTTCTTTCTTAATATTCAACGTCTTTTTTACAGCACTAGAAGATGCAGCCTTTGGAATTTTTCCACTCTTAATACCACTTTCAACTCGTAGCCCAGTCGGAATCAGCTCAGCAAAACTAGATGACGAACTCCCAATCAGAAGATTAAATAATGGACCTGTCAAAGTACCCATGAACATATCACAAGCTCCCGATTAGACAAGGGAGGGTGCACCCTTTGAGCTAAGTCTCTCCACTTTTGTGCATATTTCTTGAACCCTTCATTCGAGCCCATAGACATGTTTTGAAATTGCACTCGAGTTGGTGCAAGGTCAGTGTTGTACCCTAAAATTTTCCCTCTCATTTTACTCAACAAATGTCAATTGAGGTCTCCAAGTTGCTCAAGGAAGTCCAAGAGTTAACCAGACAAACTCTCTCCTAAGGCAATATACCTCAAATTAGGGCTTCCCTTTTCATCAAGATGTGTGAACCACAAAGGACTCAAATGCTTCCCAAGGTCTTAATATGTTCCCAAGATCATCCATGCCAAGTTTCAGGCCTTGCATAAGAAGTTTGCTCAGTTAATTGCTCAAATGCTTGAGAATCGACTATATTAGGTCAAAAGTAAACTGTGACCCACATACAGTCAAAATTCAAGATTTTTGGTCAACATCAACATTTTGAAGTGACTTTCATCATTTGATCAAGGGTTGACCATGAATCCCCAAGGAATGCTCCAAATTCATCAAAACCCAAAAGTTGCTAAATTGGGGTTTCTCAATAAAAGTCAACCCAACTTTGACCAAGCATAACTTCTTCATACTTTATCAGAAATTTTCCATCCAAGGATCATTTTTAAGAGAATGAAATTCCCTACAATTAATATTCATCCCACAAGTTCAAAATATGCACTCATCAAAAGATATGAATTTCTACATTATAGGTCCTTTTGAGAAGTCAACAAAAACACCTTTTGGGTCAAAGCTTCATACATGAACATGGAAGCTGAAATTGATATGAAACCAAAAGGGTTGGTTAGGGGACATCCTAAGCTTTCTAAAAAGTCAAAGAACACCATTCTAGGCTCAAAATTGAGAGAGTTGTGCATTGTCAAAGTTGGCAATTTTTGGAAAATTGTCAAAAGTCAACATTGATTAAATTTGCATTTTTTTTCAAAGGGGCCCATGTTTTCTTGCTTGAAACATGTTTCTAATAGGACCCACGACCCATGAGCTTTTCCACCAATTATTTTATTACTTTTATCATTTATTTAGATTTTTTATTCATTTAAACCAAAATAAGTCAAATTAAATGGTAAA